ACTAATATCACTTAATATTAATGGTCTCAATTCACCTATAAAAAGGCACAGGCTAAGGGATTGGATACGAAAACAGGATCCAACATTCTGCTGTTTGCAAGAAACACATCTCAACCACAAAGACAGGCATCTACTCAGAGTAAAAGGTTGGGAAAAGGTCTTTCAAGCAAATGGTCCTAACAAAAAAGCAGGTGTGGCCATACTAATTTCCAACAAAACTGACTTCAAACTAAAATCAATCAGAAGAGATCGAGATGGACACTTTATACTCATAACAGGAACAATTCATCAGGATGACATCTCAATCCTGAATATCTATGCCCCTAATATAAAAGCACCCACTTATGTAAAAGAAATATTTCTAAAACTCAAGGCAGACATAAAACCACACACACTAATAGTAGGAGACTTCAACACACCTCTCTCTCCAATGGACAGGTCAATCAGACAGAAACCTAATAGAGAATTAAGAGAATTATTGGAGGTAATGAAGCAAATGGACTTAACAGACATCTACAGAACACTCCACCCAAATAGGAAAGAATATACCTTCTTCTCTGCAGCTCATGGAACCTTCTCAAAAATTGACCATATACTCGGAAACAAAGGAAACCTCCACAGATACAAAAGAATATCAGTGTCCACCTGTGTCTTATCAGATCACCACGGATTAAAGTTAGATGGCAACAACTATGCTACCCCCAGAAAGCCGACAAACTCATGGAAACTGAACAGTCAACTACTGAACCACACCTGGGTCAAGGAAGAAATTAAGAAAGAAATTAAAGTCTTCCTTGAATTTAATGAAAATAAAGAGACAACATACTCAAACCTATGGGACACGATGAAAGCAGTGCTAAGAGGAAAGTTCATAGCACTAAGTGCCCACTTAAAGAAAACAGAGAAAGCATACATTGGGGACTTAATGGCACACCTGAAAGCTTTAGAAAAAAAAGAAGCAGAGGTGCCCAGAAGGAGTAGAAGACTGGAAATAATCAAACTGAGGGCAGAAATCAACAAAATAGAAACACAGAAAACAGTCCAAAGAATCAATGAAACAAAAAGTTGGTTCTTGGAGAAAATCAACAAGATCGACAAACCCCTATCCAAACTAACTAAACAACAGAGAGAGAACACGCAAATAAATAAAATCAGAAATGAAAGGGGGGACATAACCACAGACACAGAGGAAATCCAGAGAATCATTAGATCTTACTATAAAAGCCTGTATGCCACAAAACTGGAAAATGCAAAAGAAATGGACATTTTTTTAGATAAGTACCATATACCAAAGCTAAACCAAGACCAGGTGAATGATCTAAATAGACCTGTTAGTCGCGAAGAACTAGAAACTGTTATCAAAAATCTCCCTTCCAAAAAAAGCCCAGGACCAGATGGGTTCAACGCAGAATTCTACCAGAACTTCCAAGAAGAGCTAATACCTATACTCCTTAACGTATTTCACAATATAGAAACAGAAAAGTCATTGCCAAATTCCTTTTATGAAGCTACAGTTACCCTGATACCAAAACCACACAAAGACCCAACCAAGAAAGAGAATTACAGGCCTATCTCACTCATGAATATCGACGCAAAAATTCTCAATAAAATACTGGCAAACCGAATTCAAGAACACATCAGAAAAATTATCCATTATGATCAAGTAGGCTTCATCCCAGAGATGCAGGGCTGGTTCAACATACGCAAATCTATCAATGTAATCCACCATATAAATAGACTGAAAGAAAAAAACCATATGATCATTTCATTAGATGCGGAAAAAGCATTCGACAAAATTCAACACCCCTTTATGATAAAGGTCTTGGAGAGAATAGGGATACAAGGGTCATACCTAAATATAATAAAAGCTATCTACAGCAAACCGACAGCTAACATTAAATTAAATGGAGAAAAACTCAAAGCCATCCCACTAAAATCAGGAACAAGACAAGGATGTCCACTCTCTCCATACCTCTTCAATATAGTGCTTGAAGTTCTAGCAATAGCAATAAGACAACATAAGGGGATCAAGGGGATTCGTATTGGAAAGGAAGAAGTTAAGCTTTCGTTATTTGCAGATGACATGATAGTATACATAAGCGACCCCAAAAATTCTACCAAAGAACTCCTACAGCTGATAAACACCTTTAGTAGCGTGGCTGGATACAAGATCAACTCCAAAAAATCAGTTGCCTTCCTATACACTAAGGATAAGGAAACAGAGAGGGAAATCACAGAAGCATCACCTTTCACGATAGCCACAAAGAGCATAAAATATCTTGGGGTAACCCTGACCAAGGAAGTGAAAGATCTATTTGACAAGAACTTCAAGTCTTTGAAGAAAGAAATAGAGGAGGACACCAGAAAATGGAAGGACCTCCCTTGCTCTTGGATTGGGAGGATCAACATAGTAAAAATGGCAATTCTACCAAAAGCAATCTATAGATTCAATGCAATCCCCATCAAAATCCCATCAAAATTCTTCACAGATCTGGAGAAGACAATAATCAACTTTATATGGAAAAACAAAAAACCCAGGATAGCCAAAACAATCTTATACAATAAAGGAACGTCTGGAGGCATTACCATCCCTGACTTCAAACTCTATTACAGAGCTACAGTATTGAAAACAGCTTGGTATTGGCATAAAAACAGAGAAGTCGACCAATGGAATCGAATAGAAGACCCTGACTTTAACCCACAAACATATGAACACCTGATTTTCGATAAAGGAGCTAAAAGTATACAATGGAAAAAAGAGAGCATCTTCAACAAATTGTGCTGGCAAAACTGGATGTCAATCTGTAGAAGAATGAAAATAGACCCATATCTATCACCATGCACAAAACTCAAGTCCAAGTGGGTGAAAGACCTCAATATCAGTCCAAACACACTGAACCTGATTGAAGAGAAAGTGGGAAGTACTCTACAACACGTGGGCACAGGAGACCACTTCCTACGTATAACCCCAGCAGCACAGACAGTAAGGGCCTCATTGAATAAATGGGACCTCCTGAGACTGAGAAGCTTCTGTAAAGCAAAGGACACTGTTGCTAAGACAGAAAGGCAACCCACTGACTGGGAGAAGATCTTCACCAACCCCACAACTGACAAAGGTCTGATCTCCAAAATATATAAAGAACTCAAGAAACTAGACCGTAAAAGGCTAATCAACCCAATTATAAAATGGGGCACTGAGTTGAACAGAGATCTCTCAACAGAAGAAGTTCAAATGGCCAAAAGACACCTAAGGTCATGCTCAACTTCCTTAGCGATCAGGGAAATGCAAATCAAGACAACTTTAAGATACCATCTTACACCTGTCAGAATGGCGAAAATCAAAAACACCAATGATAGCCTTTGCTGGAGAGGTTGTGGAGAAAGGGGTACACTCATCCATTGCTGGTGGGAATGCAAACTTGTGCAACCACTCTGGAAAGCAGTGTGGAGGTTTCTCAGGAAATTTGGGATCAACCTACCCATGGACCCAGCAATACCACTCTTGGGAATATACCCAAGAGAGGCCTTATCACACAACAAAAGTATATGCTCTACTATGTTTATAGCAGCATTGTTTGTAATAGCCAGAACCTGGAAACAACCTAGATGCCCTTCAATTGAAGAATGGATGAAGAAAGTATGGAATATATACATATTAGAGTACTACTCAGCAGTAAAAAACAAGGACTTCTTGAAGTTTGCAGGCAAATGGATGGAAATAGAAAACACCATCCTGAGTGAGGTAAGCCAGACCCAAAAAGAGGAACATGGGATGTTCTCACTCATATTTGGTTTCTAGCCATAAATAAAGGACATTGAACCTATAATTCGGGTTCTTAGAGAAGCTAAATAAGAAGGAGAACCCAAAGAAAATCATATAGGCATCCTCCTGAATATTAAACTTCATCAGGCGATGAAAGGAGACAGAGACAGAGACCCACATTGGAGCACCGGACTGAAATCTCAAGGTCCAAATCAGGAGCAGAAGGAGAGAGAGCACAAGCAAGGAACTCAGGACCGCGAGGGGTGCACCCATACACTGAGACAATGGGGATGTTCTATCAGGAACTCACCAAGGCCAGCTGGCCTGGGTCTGAAAAAGCCTGGGTCAAAACTGGTCTCGCTGAACATAGCGGACAAGGAGGACTACTGAGACCTCAAGAACAATGGCAACGGGTTTTTGATTCTACTGGACCTATTGGTTTCGTGGGAGCCTAGGCAGTTTCGTGGATGCTCACCTTACTAGACCTGGATGGAGGTGGGTGGTCCTTGGACTTCCCACAGGGCAGAGAACCCTGATTGCTTTTTGGGCTGACGAGGGAGGGGGACTTGATTGGGGGAGGGGGAGGGAAAGGGGAGGCGGCGGTGGGGAAGAGACAGAAATCTTTAATAAATAAATAAATAAAAATTAAAAAAATAAAAAAATAAAACTAGTTGTTAAAACAATGATGATTATATTCAAATTATCTTTATTTTACTTAACGGTGTCCCCCTAAGTGCAAAAGTGATGTTTGTTATTTTATTAGAGAATACCATTATAATTATTCTATTTCAGTATTGGTTATGGTTGTTAATCTCTTACCAAGTGACAGTATGTATGTGTGTGTCTGTGTGTATGCGTGTATCTGCACACACTACATGCACAACTCTCAGAGGCCCAGGGTACTGGATTTTCTGAGTGATATGGTGCTGGAAACTGAACATGAGTCTTCTAGAAGAGCAGAAAATGCTCTCAAATGTTGAGCCATACCCCAACTGCCTCCGTTTATTTTTGTTATGGTATTCTATCATAGCAATAGAAAAGTATAGATATATATAAATACACACACACAAAAATGTATATGCGCCATAGTGAAGTGTATCCCTCAAAGATAAGGAGGCGAGGGGTGAGTGTATTGTCTTGATGGAAATTCTAGGGTTTGTACTCTGCACCCTTCATCACCTAAACCTTTCCAGTGACCAGGAAGGAATGGATTAGAACGGAGCTGCCTCCAGCATACCTTTCTGACAATGACTGTGTGTCCAGCACCGTTCCACAAACTGCCCATTGATGACGGTGGCAGGGCAGTTGGTCTTGCCCTTGGCAGTGCCTGGACAGACATCCCCACACTCCTCATTGTCATCTTTGTTCAGCACGATGTAGTTGTCCTCCACAGAATCCAAGATCCGAGACCAGTCAATGGTGGCCAGGTAACAGAGCTCATTATTCTTCTCAATGCGGACAGAGCCCCGGGTGATGTTCATGAGGTTGTAGAGCCCCAGCTCCTTCAAGTGGACCATCTCAAAGATGACCAGGGCATAGTTGAAGAAGAGGCGGGAGCCTCGGATGACTGTAAGGTTGGGGAAGAGGTCTTTCAAACTCTCCAGGCCATAGACACGGAAAAGAAGCAGGTAGTCTGTGATCATGATGAGTTTGGGGAAACTGAGGTCTCGGAAATCTTCGGGTCTGGTTTTGAACATCAAGAGGATCTGCAGATGGCCCTCGATGACTGAGCAGTTCTCCAGCTCATGCAGCCTGGTCAGGTTGTTCCTGATGTCCATGCCAGGGCACACTAAAGGGCAGACAACAGAAGCAAAGTAGATGAGTCAAAGACTCTAGAACAGCTAATGAGGCCAGAGTCAGAAAGACAGCAGTGTTTTCTGTACAGGCATGGAGACCTGACGCCCATGCCCAGGACCCACGTAGTAAGCTGGTACAGCAGCATGTGTCTTTGAGGGCTGGGGGCATGCAGAGATAGCAGATTCCCACAGCTTACTGGGCTACTTGTATCAACGAACGCCAGGTCAGTAGGATACCCTGCCTTAAGAAATAAAGTGGAGGGCTTCTATGGAACAGTTGTCACTTGAAGTAGACTTCTGGTCTCTAACATACACACACACACACAGGGGCTATATATCCCAGAGCACTCTAGGTCAGCATATCAGAGTCTCCTGCAAATCTATGCTCACTGCTGCTCTGCTCACAATATCTATATGTGAAAGCAGTTTAAATGGATAAATAATAAAGAAAATGTGGCACATAATGTAATATAGACATCTTCTCAATAGCCAAGTTATGAAACAAGCAATTGATGAGAACTAGACTGTGGCTCAGCTGGTAGACCACTTTCCCAGCATGCATAAAGCCCCTTAGTTCCATGCCCAGCACATACTGGATATGGTGGCGCACAACTATAATCCCAGCATTTAGGAGGCAGGAGACAGGAGGTTCAGGAGTTGATGGTCATCTTCGGCTACATAGCAAGTAAGAGGCCAACCTGGGCTATTTGAGACCCTGTCTTAAAAAATAGTGATAATAACAGATAACAAAGAAAATATGGCATGTAGACACAATGGAGTGTTAGCCAGTCATACAGAATGAAATAGTTACATATATTATATACATGCATGACAGAAGCAGAAAGGAGAGCAGTTGAGGTAAAGAAACATGCATGTGGGCAGAGATCCAAGTAAGAATAATGGGGCAGGCAGGGGTGATGAGCAAGGTACAATCATATAGAAACACAAAATGACATAGCTTGAAACCCATTCTTCAGTATGCCAACCAAAAGCTTAATGAAGGAAAAAAACAGGACTCTTTTCCAATCTTCCTGGCTATTAACAGAGACAGTGCCACGGTCAATGTGAGCAGGTGTGTCTCTTCCACATCCAGATTTCGTGAACTTTGCAGAGTTGCCCAGGAAAGGATGATCTGTTTCCAGGCTTTGAGAAGCCTCTATATTGGTTCTCCACTGACTATACCAGCAGACATTTCCACAACAGTATGTAAGAGCTCCCCTTCCTTAATATTCACATCATTCTGATGAATAGCCATCGCCATAAATGCCCATCAATGAATGAATAGATAACGATATATGGTGTGCTAGGGATGGTGGCAACTTGTAACCACAGTGATCAAGAGGCTGAGGCAGGAAGATTATGAGTATGAGGATAATCTGGGATACATGGACTAGGCTGAATGACATGGTTCAGATGTAGAGCCCCTGCCTAGACTCTCCTAATGAGGGCTGGGATGTGGCTTAAGGGAAGAACCCCTGCCTAGAATCTCCCAGTGAGAGGCTGGAGGTCTGGTTCAGGGATAGAGTCCCTGCCTAGAGTTCCCCAGTGAGGAGATGGGACAGTGGTTCAGAGGTAGAAGCCCCTGCCTACTGTGCACAAGGCCTTCTGTCCAATCCCCATCAGAGAAGATGGGAAAGCTACAATTAGGGCCAGTGCCAGCTTTGTGGTCACCCACTGTGGGCTCTGCATTTCAAATTGCTAAGCCAGCCCCGATGAATGGCTTTCCCTGTAAAGCAACCATGCCTAAATAATTCCTTTCAAAAGGCAAAGAACATAATTCCTTTGGCTGCCTAGTTAGAAGCCTTAACATAATCATAACCCTATCTATGAGGCAATCGGCTGACAGGAGGGTTGAGTAAGACATCAAGTGCAGAGGAAAGGGCAGCCGACCCCAGCCCAGGGCCCCTGAGCCTCAGCATGGAAGCTCTTCAGGAAGTGACTGACAGGAAAATGTACTCATATCAGAACAGGGCAAGAAAACTGAATGTCTTTGTTTTGTGTTCACCCACCTCCCTGGCTGGCTCTGCTTCCGTGGCCTGCCCTCCTGGCTGCCAATCAAGGTCTAATTACCTTTTACCTGGGTGTGGCAAGAGCTTCCCAGGAAACCCAACCTCCATCTCTTTGCACAAAGGGAATGCTGATTCTCCTAAGGGTGGGGGGCCTGCCAAGTTCCCACCCCCTCCACACCTTCCCATGGTCCTGCACGCCTGGCAATCACAGTCCTCGACATTCCTAAAAACCCTCCCACCCCTTAAGCCATGTGCACTGGCTAGTTTTTGTCAACTTGACACAAGCTTGAGTCATCTGGGAAGAGAGAACCTCAGTTTAGAAACTGCCTTCATCAGACTGTCCTAGAGGCAAGCCTGTGGATTGATATGGCAGGAGCCAGACCACTATGGGCCTCCCCAAGGCGGGTGGACAAAGAAAGGCAGGAAGAGCAAGCCAGTCAGCCCTGCTCCTCCAAGGTCTCCACTTCAGTTCCTGCCTTGAGTTTCTGCCTTGACTTCCCTTCATGACAGACTAGGTTGTGAAGGTAGCTGTTGGTCATGGTGTGTTTATCAAAGCAACAGCAAACAAACTAGAACACCATGCTAAGCAGCTACTCTCTCAATAGCTACAAAACTTGCTGTCCCCAATGTCAGAAGGGCCCAGGCACTGAATGGTATGCAATAGGTGCTCAGCTCACGTCACCTGTGTTGATGTGTATTTTCCCTCAAATATGTAACATACATCTCTGCGTGAGTCTGTTTATGCACTCACAACCCCTACCTTCACTCCCAGCAAAGGACAAAGGTGTCATTCTTCCTCACATGCCCTCCACTATCTTTTTGAGACAGTTTCTCTCTGACCTGGAGCTTGCTGAGTGGGCTAAGCTAGGGAGTCAGTGAGCCCCAGGACTCCATCTGTCTCTTCCACCTCAGCTATGATTATAAGTATAAGCTGCCACTCCTGGATTCTTGGCTTCTGGGGAACTAATTCAGTTCCTCGTACTTGCAAGGCAAGTTCTTTATTGACTGAGCTGTCTCCCCGCTTCTATTTTAATCTTCCTCATCTTCCTTGTCTTCCTCCTCTGTCCCCATGCTCCCGAGGAAAAGGCAAACAGCTTAACCAGCTAAGCTACCTCCCCAGCTCCTGCTGGCTACTCCCAGCCTCAACCTCCCAAGCCCTCAAATCACAGGGGCCCCACCACACTCTGCTTAGCTCCAGGCCATGATCCCTTAGAGCCATTCAGAAGCCACCCACTCCAGCAGCCCTCCCTGACTGCCCTTCCCGTGAAGACCTCTATGAGTCTTCCCTTCTTTGTGTTCCTTCTATACAAGTTAGCATTTGTCAGAATCAACTCCTTAGATAGCATTTTCCTACCAACCAGAGCCCTCTGCACCCATACAACCCCTGTTTATTTTATCCCAAAACATCCAATATCTTTGAGGCAAAGAGACTCTTACCCTGGAGCCACTGAGATAGCTCATCAGGTAAAGGTGCTTCTACCAAAACTGACAACTGGAGTTCGATCCCTGGACCTCACATAGCAAAAAGAAAGAGACATCCTCTAACCTCCATATGTATACAGTGGGATATACATACATACATGTGCACACACGTGCATGTATGTATGAGCGTGCATGTTCACATACACATACCAGCTAAGATAAAAGGAACAGATAGCTTGAGCCTGGCAAAATAATGAATCCCTGTCTCAAAATGAAAGACTTCAAGCTGGAGAGATGGCTCAGTGGATGAAATGCTGCCTTGTAAGCCTGATTCCATCCCTTGGTAGTGAGCACTTAGAATTTCTGCACTGGGAAGGTGGAGATAGGGGTTCCCTGGAGATCACTGGCTAGCCAGGCTACCAAGGTCCAGGACAGTGACATACCCTGTCTAAAAAAAAATAGGGTGTCTGAGGGACACCCAAATTTTCCATTTGACCTCCACATAGATGTACACATATGTGTAAGTATATACACACTACACACAGGCATGCACACATACACACACATGCACACATGCAAATACACATGAACACACACACACAAAGGGATAGGGAATCTAATCTGAGAATGACTCATAAAAGACGCAAAAGTGACTTGGAGAAGTACATCCTAAAGCTCTTGGATTTGGTGTTCTTGCTTCATAACCCTCACAGAGCATATTAAACTCTATTAAAAGAAAAACCACACACTTATTCATGAGGAAGTTAGAAGCCCCAGCCCTGGGCAAGAGTAAAACTGCCACCCTGCCCCACACACTTGCCAGCCAGGCTCGGAGCAGAGCAGAAGGCCCCCTGCAGTGGTGAAGCCTGGGCTGGGAGACAGCTTTGAAGAGACCAGTACACCAGCTCAAATTCCACATAGTCGCACCAAGCAGATCTGAGGTTCCTGACAACTCAATGGTTTTCAAGCATGGACATATTGACAGGCAGAGACCCATAGACATACTGTGTCAATGTTACTCTTGATTGACAAGTGGACAGGATCTAGAAGCACACGGGGGACAAGCCTGTGTTGTGAGGAAGTCTCTACACTGGGTTAACTGAAATAGGAAGACCTACCCTGAAAGTAGGCAGTGCCATTCCACGGGCTGGGCTCCTGGACTAAATAGAGAGCAAGCAGTGTTACAAAAACTTAGTCAAGGGCTAGGGAAACAGCTCAGGGGTAACACACTTGTCCTGCAAATGTGAGGAGCAGAGATTTGATCCCAGCACTCACAAAAATGATAGGCAGGTATAACAACCTGCCTATAATCCCAGCACTTGGGAGATGAAGAGGAGGAGGCCCAGAACAAGCTGGCTTGATAAACTAGACATGCAATATCGGCCTCTGCTCTCCACACATTTGCACAGATACATGCACTCACACATGCTAACATGCATGTACATATCTTTTGCACAGATGCAAAAGAGAAAAAGGCTTAGTAAAGTCCTTGCTAAACAAACATGAACAGCTGTGTTCCATCCTCAAAACCCGCATATAAAAAGCAAGCACAGATGCATACA